GCGCCAGTCGTTCATCCAGTTAGTTGATAATCACTTCTTTTTTTTTGAGGTTCGCGCCCGCGTCCCAAATGAGATTATTTATTTTTTAGAAAATCAACTTTTTTAAAAAGTTGAAATTGTTTGTTTTGGGCAATTAACTGACATTTTCCGCTTACCTTTCCAGGCAAACATACCAAAACTTGACCGACCTTATTGACGAATAACCTAACCTCTCTCACTCTAAGCTACCACCCGACCGGTGTACCCAGAGACAAACCCCCCCAAAAGATTAAAAAATATAAAACTAAAAAAAAATAAAAAATAAAAACAACCAACCCCAAGCTAAACAAAGCTGCACGGTCAATCTTTTACTTTTTTTTTTCTGTCCTATTTTCCCTTTTGACACTTTTTTTTTTTTAAATAATTTTTTTTTTATTCCCTAAGCAGGAAGTAGTAATTAATAATTTCTACGCTTGTTCTTCGGCCTTCGCCTCTGACAACTTTAATCCGCCCGGTGGCCGCGCACCAGACTCGATACAGCAGGCGCCCCCAACCAGGTTTCTGCGACAGAATTACAGCCTACTACAACCCAGAGCCTCTCCGCTCAACGCCAGATCAAGTATAGGTCGTCGGCACCACGACCAAAACAGTATCTCCACCATTTTTGCCTTTTTCGTTCGTGATACAATCGTCGTACCTCGACAAAAATGGCCGACATCACAGACCAACACGATCAAACTTCTCCCACGGAACTCGACGATTCTCACGTCGGCAATGGCAATGCAGGTCCTGCAGAAAACCGTGGCATCAAGCGCCAACGCGCTAGCATCGCGGAAGACGACGATGATGACGATGAAAAGGGCAGTCGCGAGCGTCGCAAAATTGAGATTAAGTTCATTAGCGACAAGTCGCGTCGCCACATCACCTTCTCCAAGCGCAAGGCTGGAATTATGAAGAAGGTATGTTGGATGCATCAGCTTCCATTGCGCTCTCATTATTGTATTTTTAGCTCGCCGACTGTCGCGTTGAACGCGTTCCTTATTTTGAAGCCGTATTGCAATTGAGTTTCCAGCTGTGTCAACTTTTCATATCATACTAACATCCCGTTTCCTTAATTAGGCGTATGAGCTGTCCGTTCTCACAGGCACTCAAGTTCTACTGCTAGTCGTGTCGGAGACTGGGCTTGTCTACACATTCACCACTCCTAAGCTCCAACCGCTGGTAACCAAGGCGGAAGGAAAGAACCTTATTCAGGTACGTGTCTCGCGATTCGTTTCTACTGGTACTGAAGTCTAGGACTGAGGAGCACTAACCAATTATGTATAGGCCTGCTTAAATGCGCCCGAGCCCACTCAAGGCAACGAGAATGGCGTTGACGATTCCAATCAGGTCGAATCGCCTGAGGAGCCGACCAATTCTCACCTCCCCCCTCAGACGAGCCGACCGGGCATGCCTTCTCACATGCCTCCAAACTACGTGCCTAACGTTCCTATGGACCCTCAACAAGCTATGGCGTATCAAAGTTACATGCAGCATCAGCAGCGCGGGCAATTTGGACTACCACAGTCTGGTATGCCACAGCACACGTCTCATCAATCGTGATGGTCGCCTTAGTGGCGGCAGCATTGCCTTGCACCTGATACCCCGAATTTAATGCATTCACGAGGTTCCCTTTTCTTTATTCGAGGCATTCTGAACACACCTATAATTGCAAGGCTTTGGTGGTCCGGCGTTGTTGGGTCATCGTGACTTATCTTTCTTTTTCTTTTTTTTGTTACTGCGCAATGCGACCATATCATTTCCGTTCCGATTTCGACCGTCTTTCGTACTATATCACTTGTCGCTGACCGAACTTGCGATTGGTGATTCTGGGCTTCGACCCGAGTTTTTCAGTATCCATTAATTCTTGCTTCATATTCCATGGAACAAATCGAGGCCCAACTTCGCTAAGCTTAGAGGCTTGGTTCTCATCCTCTCCCGATCTTCAATTTTCCAAAATGGTAGTAGGTTTTATAAAGATGACTGCAATCCTTATACCGTCCATAAATATTTAGCCATTAGGAGATCCGTCTCGGCCTATATTTTGAGACGGTCTGCACCACCTTCGACACTAACTCGCCACTTGAAACTGGAAATAGCGGTCTTTGTCGACGTGTATTGCGGCGGTTTGCAGTGGTTCTACCGGTTACCTCTCTACGATCACACGCCTCGAGGTCGTTTTCCTCTTGTACCTACCTAGCCATTAGGAGTATGAGAGGTGGTAATCATTCTAAGATAATATACGATGGGATCAAGAGCTGTTGAAAGGATCTCGGTGGATAATTCGCCTTCTGCGTATGCGCGGCCACTACTAATTCTCGAACTGGATCGACCGTTCCTATGTCTGACAAAGAAACGGTGAAAATGATTTACGAATCATGGCTGACGAATATATGAATGAAATCGATCGATCGGAACCGACTTTGCCATTACTCGACCGTTGAGGCCGGTATTCTCGTGAACCGGGACTCTGCTGATACTACGATTCTACCATCCAAAAGTCCTTAACGACCAGAAACTCTTGTGGGAGGGGTGGCAGTCAATTCTTAACGCAGCTATAAGTTTCTTACCTCATCTTGTGTACATGATTGAGGATCGGATTCACGTTTCTAGCGTTCTCGCAACCCCAGCATCAGCATAGTTTTGGGCACACGCCTCGGGTTTCAATTCGATCGTTTCTATCCAAAGTCATTTTCTCCAGGCACTAGGCTGTGATGGGCTAGATGAAAGGCGAGACGCTCTACGCCGTCGTAGGAGGAGGCGCGTTTGTATGATAGGAATCGTCCCACCGGCGGGCACTGTCCTCCCGTAGATCCTCAAGATCTTGGCGTCTGGTAATTGACATTTCAGTTGAGAATTACTCCTTCTGTTACATTGCTTGATGACATCGTGAATTTAATGACTTAACACCTAATTTGCCCGTTCACTGACCATAAAGATGCGTTATATAACAGCTTCTGTGATCGCTCCAGTAAATGCTGTAAGAGAGATACTTGTTAGGTATGTGGTTTGCAGTATGCAGACTGGAAACTACAGGTATCACTTGTAGACGGTGTCTAACATGTCACGCTCGGAAGCAATTGGGTCTAAATGTACCGATTTTCCGTATAGACGTCTGTGTTCATAGTCTTGTTTGTGTACTTGTGTATCGAGCCACCTTATGTGCGTAGTTGGTTGTTTTCACTGGGAGGAACTTTTCTACGTAGCTACAACTATTCTATTCTTTTCTAACCACTTGTTGCTTTCCAAGCGATTCGCTTTCGATTTGCATCCTTCCCCCCCTTTTCTTTCGGCTATACTCTTTATTCGTGTCGACATAATAGCGTGGATATTTGAAGACGTCCATGTAGGTTACTGTGATGCCAAAGCATTTGCATGGAGGTCATACAAGTCCATGTTCGTTTTACAAGCATGGAGGTTTTTTTTTCATCGCCTTGTGTAGACGGTATGGCAGGTGATGGGTTACCCCTAAATATGGGTGGATAGAGGACGAGAGGTCTAATGGCGTTCCCGTGAGTACCTAAGGTCACCTGGTTTGGTCACTCCCTCTCAGTTTTGGGAACCTTAGCTGGAATTCTGACTTATTGCAGTGGTTCTTCTGATAGGTGGAATGGGCGGGCGTTGATGTCCCCCTTTTTCTAAGGCCGTTCACTATATGCTTTGTAGCTTTGGTTTCCGGGCGACTCAAGGGCATAATATCTTTGCAGGAAGTTATAGGTCCGTAACGTTCCTTCTAGGTGACTTCCATAACACAGTATTCCCTGTCTTTGCCGTCGCTTATTGTCTATCCGTTATGGTTAGACTATGCAGGTTGCAACAGTTGACCGTAAGGACATCCCAATCACCAACTGTTTCTTAGCAGAATATCATAGGAGTGTGGTTAATAATTCGACACCTAGTATATGCGTCCGCCTATTAGGATTAAAATAACGAAGCTTACAAAATGGCCTCTGTCTCTCTCTTACCCTTGGTCAAGTTCCTCATTTGAGGTACATGGCTATCGAACTCTACACTGACATTTATGCTGCTGAGAATGTTGCTAAGGGCCGAGCTTATCAGAGGAGCCATACAGTATTAATACTACCATTGCGTCATCTAGAAAGGGTTTAAGTTGTACCTCAGAAGAATGGCGATGGCATTTTGGTACCTATCTAAAACACCCTCACCCTCCCCTTATAACCCCAGTAACAAGCCAAGGTTAGCATGTATTGACCCTCCTGAGAGGAGGCGAAGGATAACGAGAAACTCCAACTTTTATTGGTGATTATTTAAGGGGCATCCAAGTCTTATTGCGTCCTATTCCCGTTCTCTTATCATATCTCCGTAGGTCGTGCCCGGTTGATTCGTGCAGGTAACAAAAGCTTGTCCCGTATAAACTATAAGGGACCCTTGAATATCGGACAGAGACCTATTAAGTCTGCGTATAGCGATGCCAGCTTCTCTCAGACATACATAAAACTACCTCACATGATTCATCTTTATACGGTCATAATCTATTGGTAGCTGGGACCTTTTAGGGATATCTCGAATATTCTTTTGGAGGTTACAACTAAGTATGCCCTTGCTCATCACCCTATATTTACGAGAGCTCTGGCACTGGTAAACGACAACCCCAAGGGCTAGATTATCAATGAATGCCTACGAGCTTTGGCCTCGCCCTGTCGTCTATTCGATAGGGAGCGCTCCTCATTATGTGATACGGGATTAAGGATTCATCCAGACTATTCCCGGTGGCTTTGGTAGGATGCACCTAGAATACCATGTAGAGCTCCAGTCGATCTTCTTATACTACTAGGAGTCGGTTTTCAATTCTTACGGCGCATAGCTAGGTACCTAATTACTAGAGTATCTTGATCCCATTGTTTTGCTAATAAACTTGTGACCCCTATTTCGACGCCTTAAAATGATCTCGATAGTTTGGTGTTCATAATTGAGTAAGCTCAACAGTGACGATGGGGCTCGTCACGTATCTAGAATGGAGTATCGTCTTACTGTTTTGGGGATGGTAAGGTTGGTGATGGAACGCAGAGTGACATGCAGTCAATTTGAAGCACGTGAAGCGCAATCTGAGTCTAGAACTAGCCCGACCAGCAACAAGGTTCACAAAACAGGTTAGTTAAACGGAAGTGATTATTCGTGGAAAATACGTGGGGTAAAACGACAAGGATCTTTCCTTATTGGATGAGCGGATTTGAGAAAGTTTCTCGGGGGTGTAACTGATTCGTTGGAAATTCAACTTTAGGAATAATAATCATGTTGATCATATTGATCGTATTGATAAGCTTCCTGCGAAGCAAATGCAGCTGTTGAATCTCCAAATTACTTCGTTCGAGTAACAAGTGCCTTGACTTGGATGCTTGCTAAGTTGCCTCTCCCATAACGCCATGCTTAAATCGTGGTGAATGCAATAAGGTGCCCCTCCCTTTGCTTTATAGGCTGATATCAACTAGCCTAGGACCGAACGCATACCATCCCATGTAAGTTCGCAGAACCACCGGGCTCTTCCTGGTGTCGTCGTATCGTAAATTGGAAAAAATAAAAATTAGTGCGCGCCGTCTTGGCGGGTTGAAAACCGGCAATGCTTTTCCTTCCTTCCGTGATCGTGGGTTTTAGTGTTCTGAGTTGTAGAATCGACCGACAAGCAGACTGCCTAAGAATGTGCCACCGAGTACTGCGATAAAATATCCGACGTTCATTGTCATGACTGCCAACATGCTATGCCTTTGTCAGTGCTAGCCAGCATCACCAGTTGATACGATATCAGACTTACAGAAGGTAGCTGACTCCGGCAATGCAAGTATCCAGCACCGCTCGCACGGGATCAACGGACAGTCTCCAAGGACGAAGGTGAAGCTGTTTCTTCTGAACGACCATAACATCCTCCTCAACACCATTTTCTGTCAGGGTCATCTTTTTGCTGAAGCTGTCTGTCGACACTCGCTCCGCGACCGGGATCTTTCCCTGCACGACAACGTATCTTCGTTTCATCTCAGCATCCAGCCATCGTTCCTCTACCAGAGACTTTCCTGCAAGTAGTAGTCGAAATACCACGCCAAGAATGATTAGGAATATGATAGTTCCAGCGTAGGCACCGTTTGTACGTGGTGTCCATAACTCCGAAAAGAGAGGTGTAGCTATGCTGTTTTGGAAGACCATCTGCATCGAAGATGAATGTGACATATCCATGCCATCCATATCCATCGCCATATGGGCATCGTCGCGCGGTGACGACATTGTTGCGAATTACCTATCTGGTTAGTTAAGTGGTTGGAATTGGACAGGCAACGCCAGGAGAAAGCTGGTGTATTATTGTTTGCAGCAATATTCCTTGGGGGGCAGATTGTTCACGGCCCGCACATGGTAGACGTATAATTCGACGGGATTGAACGCAACTCGATCTTAGATCTTGGATCTCAGGGAGTTATGTTGGGGACAGAGAGACTTGAAAGAACGAGTCGAAAAGCCTGACACGATGTGCAAATTCCAGAGTAAAAGAAAGAAGGGAGGAAAGTAAGAACGACGAAAAAAAAAAAAAAAAAAAAAAAAAGAGGTTAAGGTGAAATTAAGTTGCTTTTCTTTCAAGCAGAGGGATGTACATGTTTAATGCCACACGTTATTGCTACACGTTACATACCTGATTCGAACCTTACGGCCTTAAAGGAGCTCAGGACTGCTATGTGCCTACCTAAAGTATCTCTCTACCTTGGGTACATAGGTGTAGGTACCTAGGTAACCTAAAGGTGCCTACTAATTTCTAGGTAAAAAAGAGAATGGCAAGTACAACTTGTGCCTGCGTCAATTTGCCTCGGATAATAAGATGCATTAAATTTAGTAATCGCGCGCATTATCAAAAGATATAGTGCAGGGAAATATAATACAAGTACATGTATTGGAGGTACTTTTCCAGCGCATATACGCTCAAAAGACCTCATTATGGTTCCCCGTCTAACCATTTTGGTGCCAAGCCGGATTAAATAGAGACAAGTAATTGGCTGTGCTAGTTGAGATCTTAGACCCTTACTACCACACGTTCCGATACAAATATGAGATCTGATTGAAGGTACATTGTGTATAATAAATTATGAGGCAGGTACCTATAATAGTTCATGAACCTCTTCGTCGCATATCGAATATTTTCAATTTGATACGAGGCTCCATTATTAAGGAATTCATGTGCCGGTCCTGCAGCGACAAACCATGATAATAAGGAGGTTTCCGATTTTAAATGCTACCTACCTTTTGGCAGTGTAGCGGTTTAATACCCTAGGTTAGGTACCTACCTGAGGTAACTGTCATCCAAAGCCTTACATGGTCCAACAGGTTGTAAGATAAATTCTAAACAGGTATAGCAAATTTAAGTGTAGTCGCCCTTCAAAATATATACCTACCTGTATATATCTATCTTGATTATACGGATTTGGATTCTGCTGAGTTCTTGCTGAAGGATACATATAGAACGGCGCGAGTGATAGATACAGGGCTCTAGGGATTTGTCGGAAAGCAGAAAGTTATTATCGCACGATGGTGGTTATGTCTTGCAGATGGATGTAGATTAGGTAGATTCTTAACTATCCTCCTGATATAGAAATGCTGCTAATCTCAATCCTCACGACCTGGTACTAGGAGATGGTCTCTAACAGCCCTAATAGACGTTGACATCGTCGTCATGATCACCATCAGCACCCCTTACAATTGCGATTGGAGTTTTCGTACCGCGTATCTAAGTTATGCGCTCCTATTAAAGATACTGCCACTATCTAGTGCCATTTTATATGATAATCATATTGCGTAGTGTATATGGTGTCTTTTATCAACAGTCATCAGTATAAACTAGCTATAGGTAGACTATAACACTCCGTTATCACCCCCCTGAGCCGAGGTTGTGTGAAAGGAAAATAAGAAATGCCACAGATTACGTTGACTGTGCTATAATTCCATGCTCGAGGAAGTCTTTTATCAATTATACTGGCTCCAAAAAGACCAAGTATGGTAGGTGCCTGTTTCCTTTGGCATCCAAAGCAGAAAGTCAAAGAGATTATGACTCTTATATTACCTAATTCCCAAATTAAGAGACCATAGGAGAAAAGGAGAAAGACGTGCTAGCTTTCTGTTTTTAAATATGAATGAATCAATACTATCTACTAACTACCTAGGGCTGATAATTGTAACTTATTTTTAAGTAGTTTGTAGACGAAGGGTAAGTGGCCTCGGTACTTCTACACATCAACGTAGCGTCCTAATGCTATTACCTATCATACCTAAACCTTTTAAGCTATTATAGGTAATCGACTGCACTCAAATGCTCCTGCTAGGAATCTAAATGGGACACCTGGAGCACAGGGTATGTTGGCTATATATAACAGGTACCAAAACACTCTCATAGCTACCTAAGGTACCTAAGGAAGATAATATAGGATTCCTCACGGAAGAATAAAGTTGTCTTTGTTAGGCGCCTTTCGGTTCTGTCTAGGTACCTAAGGTATCTGATCCATATGAAGTCAACGGATTGAATAGGCAAGAAGCGAAATTTATAAAATAAATTGCGGACTCTTATAAACCCAGGAAACGAAGAACATAAGAAACTCGTTCTTCCTAATGATATGAATTATGGCCTTTGGTAGTATTATTTTGCATGTACTCCGCTATACCAGGTAAGTAGGGTGAAACTACAAAGAATAGAGGGGGAAGAATAGAACCGATGCCTAGAACACTGTAACGCGAATCTGAAGCTGAATTAAGAGATACATAGTATCAAGCAGTACCTACCAAGTCATATAGGTAATGGTATCTATGCGGGATTGAGCTACCAGAAATGACCTTTACTTTGCTAGAAATGTGTTTACTGTACATAATGTGATAGAGAAGACACATGAGAACACGATAGATTGCTTTATTATGCCCACCCAGATGGGTTGTAAAGCAGATCAGCCAAGACATGTATTGTTTGCTAGCACAATCACAAGTTCGCCTTCGAAAAAGTTGGGAAACTCGACTAAATCCACCTGTTATACGTTAGAGGATAAAGAACCCCCAAAGCTTTGCCCGTACATGCCACTAGTTCTTTATTAGAGTCGTACGATCAACTTCTCTCATGCATTTTTTTTTTTGGAGTAGCAAAGCGAATCACACGAGATAGCTCTGGAGAAAGTCGAGGTTATGAAAACACACGTCTGTGACACCAACCTTTACGCGGCCGAGCCTCGGCTGTAATTATATTTGTAGGCCGAGAGCCATGGTTCCTGAGGACAAGACATGAATCTTCGGAAGCAAAGCCAGTTCTAACTAATACGATAGGGCGACACACGGCTCCATCATGCAATTTGAAACGTCGTGTTCTTCGAGGAATACTCTGCTTCAGGATAAGTTCGCGTACACAACAGAAGAAGTCTATGTGCTGGAACACCACGTCAGCGCCATTGATGACGGCGTACAGAAGGGGAAAAAAAAGAGGAGCAATGGCGAAGGGGCAAAGGCCAATATGATGGCCTGAATGACACAGGCGTTGATCCAGACAAAAGCCACTGCAGAAATTTGCCGAGCTGCAAGCAGCCGTTCCCCCCTCTTACTTTCTTCTCCATAAAATGCAACGCGGTGGTTGCCTAGCAAAGTAGGGATCATCTGATTGCCCCCGTGGCCCCTGTGGTTGCGGGACTTGTATTACCAATTGCTTGTCGGTCGTGGGGTAGGACAAGTAAGGCATGCTTTCCCATCTACGCCGCCCGTGCCGTGATTGTCTCTCAGTGATATTTCACCGGAGCTAGTCTGGTCTGGTATCTTGCTACGGGGTTCCTAGTAAGGTAAGGCAAGGTAAGGCAAGGCAAAGCGGGCGCATCAACGATAGAAACCTCGAGATTTTACCAGGGATAAATGCTCCAGGAAATGTGTCCTGCCGTGATGGAAAATGTGATCCGTCGGCACCTTGCTTAGATGCCGGGGCGGGATGTCTAAGTTAGTGTCTTGGTTTCGCGAGTCCTTCTCGGGAGCATGCATATTGCTCATTGAATTCATCTTATCTGATATGTGCGCTCTGACTTCTCTGCCCCCGCGAACGGGCTCGGCGCGCGGTACCATACACGCCTACCCACTGGTGACAGCAACTGCAAAAGGCCACAACGTGCAGCCGTCCAAGCATACCCGAGCGAACCGAGAGCCGGGATGTCGCCCGACGAGAACTGGACACCCGAGTCTAATTTAACGACAGTTTGAATCAAGGTTCTATTTTGGTTGGTGAGAAACCGAAGAGGGATGGCATATAATTCTCGTCTTACTCGAATCGGATTCTACCCAGTGAGGAATTTCTCCGTGTCTGACGGAAATTCCGGTAGGGGATTTCCCTTCCCAAAAAATACAGTGTTCGATGTACTACATTCCCGTGTGGATGGGATCGATAGCGCGGCCAGAGGATCCGATGATAATAAAACTCGACCTCGTCGGTGAGCGGATAGTGCGAAACCTCCTATTACACGCGAGATGGAGAAGACCCCGCTATTCGCCGTTCTTCCGCGGACATGGCTCCCCGAATAGGAAATATCGGTGCCGGTGAACGGCGATTGAGTTGTCGTCTTATTCGAAATCGGAATGATTAAACGAAAAGAAAGCGATCGGCCGGTTATGGCTTACTATACCTAACGGGATTGTTGATTTTTTTTTCTTTTATTATAAAAAATAAAATAAAATAAAGAAATACAACTATTAAAATAAGAAGAGGAATATAATTATCCGAGTTCAGCCCCGTTGAGGACCCCGAAAGAGCTCGTCTCGAAGATTGTCTCTCCCCGTAGCGCCCGGGGCGGGATTGAAAGACGAGTTATGATCCTTGCGTAGGTCCGGTCAATAGTGTCAAGCGCTAAAAATACCCATATGAATGATGAAGTGTATGCACCTAGAGATGTAGGCATCTAAGATAGATACCTCATATGAATAAATACGTGTATGTACGTAGATCGGTCAGGGTCGGAGGTATGTATTCGTAGGTGGGGGTCACATTCAAATCCAATTTAAGGGATCGCCGAGGCTTACATATTAGCAGCAACCCTGATGTCTTTTATCAGGTAAGTTCCATATGAGAGATATTTCCCTTTCCATACTTCGTCGTAATCATATGAGGTTGATTCCTGTTCCGGGGCGTGGCTATGACAAACAAAAGGAGCATAAGTACCCCCAATGAGATAAAAATAGGAAAAGGGGGAAGAAGAAAAGTAAAGGCTCACGGTACGCAAAATGCATTTAGTCGCCGATAACACCGAGAATGAGAGTATTGAAATGTATAAGAGAGCTGATATTTGTAAGCGAGGCGCAATTATTGTCTCACAAGAGTCGGACTTGGTGATTTAACCCTACCTACCTAGGTATCTAAAGTGTATAGCGAAGAGAATAGGGGAGAAGTAAAGTACCTACTATGGCTTATGAAACATGCAACTTAACTGAGGAGCATAGTATGTATGGTTACATTTCTGTTTAGAACTTCTGTGTAACGAATCCTTGTTAAGATCTGGTTCTTTACAATATCGAGACTTTAAATTTATGAGACCTGATGGTACCTACCTGACGTATATGCGATGTATGCGATATCATGTACATGGTAAATGATAAGTCATAGAGGGAAATGAGGCTAGTCGTATAGTTCATGTTTCCGTTGCTGTTAGGTATTAGGATCTACTACTAGGTAGGATCTAGAGCAACGGAATTACCCATCCAATCGCGCCTAGAATAAACTCCTTAGGCCTTTAAGGGTTGCTTTTTTTTTTCCCTTCCCCAGGGCCTCGCATTCGGACTTTTGTGTTCCACAGACCTCGAGACAGCAGTACTGGCCAAGACGGAACTGGGAACTTTCTCCATGTAATGTCTGGTAATTTCAATGAGCGACGAAGAAGTGGAACCACCTAATAGTTGGAATAAGAATCTTCATAACAAAATGATGGATTTCCTTGCGTCTACTGGTGACTGGGGGTGGAGGGGAAGCAGAATGTAGAATGCAGAATGCAGAACAGGGGGAAAAGGTCGCAGAGCCTTGCGTTCAATAAGAGGTTTACACGGTACGAAGACTTGGATATCGTTTTAAGAGTAAGAATAACCGTTAGCAAATGAGCTTACATTAGGTACCTAGTTTCGTGGACGCTATGAAACTAAACAAGGCGGGCGATACATGCGGAATAAGACAGGGGATCAGCTCCTGCTGGCTCAAAGACAAGTGTAGGCGTCTTCAGCCTCGCCATGTGGGAATCACACGGTAAATACGGCCTGAGCACTTCGGTCTGGGAGTGGGTACAATTGATGGTGCTGCGTAGTCGGGGCCGAATACGCAGACTTGCCTATAATGTACCCCTAACATCTCCAAAAACCCTTGCGTGCGTACTACAGTGAGCGCTGGCCCATAAATTGGAAGCTGCTGACTCGCTTGTTGGGCTGTCTCTACTAGTGAAGTAGACCGTCCGAATCCCGCCTCTCAAACGCGTGGGATCGTCGTCCCACCGTAGAGACAGAAGCGGGAATGGCTGAGTGGCCAGCTGGTCCTGCAAGCGAGTCCGTTAGGTTGGCTCGAAGCCACGATAAACGAACGCTCGAGAGACACGGGCTGTTAGTGCACATTTATCTGCAAGTACGTATAGCGCGGAATGTGTAGGACGGCCGCCACTATCTGAGATGCAGCGCAATCCTTGGCCGGAGGGAGATCGAGATTCAAGGGTTCTAAGAGCTCAAGGCCTAGGGGGGTGGGCCCCGAATGTGTTCTTTCAGGCCATTCCTCCTGTACAGTCCTAGTCTTTCTTGGCTATGGATTTCGTACTCTCCTACCAGCTGTAGTCAGACATAGGTTAGGTCTAGGTGGTAAAACGTCTCGGGCTTAGAGGACCTAAGTCTCGTGTGTGAGTTAGCACGAGCACCATGTGGTAGACTCGCCCAGGCCAAGGTCCAGCAATACTACTCGTTTAAGCAACAAGGCCCATACATGCGTGTTCCGTGCTTCATTCGTATTTTCCAAACCTGACCGGGAGAATATAACGTCTGACAAAGAGAGAAGAGCCAATCTCATAGGATGACCGGCGAACACTACCTAAACTTTAGCTTGGATATCGCGCGTTTTGGGTTTAAGGTGTGGCTTTCGTTGGTTCTCATAGCTTCGGGAGGTTAAGCTAACTGACATTGCCAAATCCCCTAAACCGTATTCACGAATAGCCATGATCTGACTTAACATCATCATGGACAAGTGGCTACATTAATAGGTACATATTTATTTCGTATTAGGGAGTTAGGTTTCTTTGTATCGGAAATTGAATGTGTGAAATTCTCGTAATATTCTACGCAACGCAACCTCTTTCAAGCTAACTCTTCCCACTTGGCCTTTAGATATGCTCAATGCTAGATACCTGATTAAGTGAGTCAAGTCCCACAGATATACTACTACCTTTACAATCGGGCCACGTTAAATATCGTTTTGTAACGGGTTTCAGACGGGGATTGGTGTATTCGGCGATTGCGAATATCATGCAAGCTGTTATTACTACATACGACTTCGCTGTACGAAATGATTTGAGTTACATACCTAGGCACACCAGGTGTATGGGGTATCAACATACTATTGAATGGATTTTAAGTAACCGAGAACTCTTTCTTATCGTTTGAACAAGCAGCCCTGTAGAGAGAACTTGCCCGGCCAACCCTGATCTAATTTACCTCTCAATATCATACAAGACCTCCTCATTCAATGTACATCTAAGGGTCCATGATGACTCAACGCGCGCTATTCCCGCTGACGATGGGATGCTGCTCCTAATGAATATCCCACGTGGCTAATGTCCAAGTCCGAAATGCGTCTGTAACGGGACGTTTATCCCACTGATGCCAAAGGATGCTGTAAAAGGTGCAATACTTCTGATCGGTTCGGTTCGTAGCGTGTCGTAGCGATGCGTAACTGAATTCTTGCCCATCTAACCAATGAAAACCATACTCTGCAAACCCAAGTACCTAGCCAGCGAACCGAAACAAGAAAAAAACGAAGAAAATAACGAGAAAAACAAAAGTATTCCAAGTCTATTGCAAACCCTTCCCTAGGTAGGAGGTAGCCATGGATACTAACCTAACAACCAGAGCGACGACGACTTCGCAAACACCGAGATAATATTGGTCAAGAGAATATTTCGCTTGTCCCCAGGGGAGAGTGGTAAATCTATTATCAACCCGCCCGTATAAAAAGAAGCTGTGCAATCCCTGTAATGGCTTTGGTGTCCTGTAGAACAGTCTTCATACCTATTTGCAAAATTCGTAACCGTTGACTCCCAACCTGTGTATTTTTTCCTACTGTTTCCCTTTTCATTCCCTATTTTTTTGGTAGTTTCGACAACTGCAAGAAATACGATTTGATGTGTTTTCCCCAGGTGTAGCGTAGCATTTCGGTAACATCGGTCGGACGACTAAATTTCCTGATAGAACGCCGTGGCCATTATGAAGTTTCTGCGTCTTACAACGGTTCTTGCTTCAAGACGTAATCAGAACTATTGCTATGTCTTTCTGCATCGCGTTTCATCTCTTCCCGTGGCGAGCTACCGGTGTCGTCGGTTGGTGAAGTCTTTCTAGTCCCGCACCCCTTTACCAGTCTATGGCGCTGTTGGAGGTAAAAGTTAGTAGTTTATTTACATAGTTATTTCAACTCTCCAACGCGATAACGACCTACTTTGAGCGCGTCCTTTCTAGAAAAGCTTTTTTCGCAAAAGGTGCAGGGGTAAGGCTTGATCGCATCATGAATTCGCCTGTGTCTCTTGAGGTCGTGATTCCGGTTGAACGATATTGGGCAGATATCGCACCTATAGGGGCGATCTTGTGGAATAGGGTGGGTGCTAGTGTAAAGATTCTGATTGACCAAGTGCCCAGCTGGATGGTATCCATGTGCCATTGTACCAATGCCATTCATAATAGTCATCTGTCCTCCGGGATTCGCCATGTTCGACATTATCGGTCCTCCCACTGTCGATCCGCTTCCCATTGTCGGAGGAAGCGTGTAAGAAGGAAGGGGTCTATAAGGCAATCCATGCATTGGAGAATGTTGCTGATGCGGGCTCAGCGTCGAGGAATTCCTATGTATACTTCCAGTTGTTATCGAACTTGAGGGTGGAGATGAAGAATGTGTAGAGGTAAAAGAAGGATAAGAAGTGTTTGTGGCCGTTGATGAAGGGGTTCCCGAATAGTAGCCAGAAGCTGTTGGCGGCCGCGAATAAGTGTCTGGAGGCCCCGCAGACGTGGATGGCACTGTGGGTTGCGACCCTTGGGAATGGCTAGTCATCATTGGCAAGGGGTTTTGATTCGGGGTCGATGATAGTATGTTAGAATGGCTGAGGTTATTTCCTGAGATCGAAATTTGATAAGGGGGAGAGTTGCTGTCGTATGTGGAAGCTGCCAATATGTCTACTGCCCCTGGAGATTGTGAGCCTCGATAAGTGGAGTTGGGGGAATAGATTGGGCGATTGTAGCTCTGCTGCATGAGCGGAGGCTGTCCTCCGTGGCTCATCGGACTGTGCGTATAAGACTGAGTACCCGTTGCAGCCCAGAGTCTCTGTGGACTACTGAGCGGCAATCCCGTTTGAGAATGTTGGGAACTGTGGTTGTTGGCACCTGGAGAGATTGGACTCAGGCTATCAATGCCAGTCACTCCTATTATGCAAGTTAGAGGGCTGTATTCAGGCATATCTGGTGATGGAAGCAGGGCGGTTGGCGCTGTCATGTCGACACCTTGTATAGGTTGTAAGTGGAAAAAAGAAAAATGGGAAGGAACATTTATATGAAAAGGTAGAAACAACATCGTGAATAACTGATTAGTATTGGAAACAAAAAGTAGCTAAAACTCATACTGGGAACTTGATTATCTATTGGTGGTGTCGGAAGAGGCAGATGGAAATGAGGAAGCGTATGAGCTGCTGGTCTACGTGACGTAAAGCTCGTTGCGGCGGTTTCCATGCTTCTGTGGTTGAGGAAAAGGGCGAGAATGGAGGGTAGAAGAGAGTGCTCTCCTGTGTATGGCCCCCCTCTTCCAGGCGTAAAGAGTGAATAAACGGAGAGAGCTTTCTTCGTTTACCTTGGGTAGTGGCGAAACTTCCAAATATAAGTAGAAACCAGTAAATCTTATCGAAATAAGTTCCTTTTAAGTGGCATTAAGATTAGCTATACTCGTCCATAAAAGAAACTATGGGACGAGATTTTTTTCGGTTGGTGCTTGGGTGACTCGTATTCCAGTCGCACCGTGTTGCCAAGTCGCAAGTTGCTCGCCAACCTACCACGACCTGAGTTGGCGCAATCAAAATAGTAGATGGTGAGAGCGGGTAAGAGATTGAGAAATAGAGAAGTAGTATTATGTTAATAGCTCATGGCATGGGGAGCAGGATCCCCAGACCAAGTCGGTTGAGGCCGTCTCTGAAGGTGTTGGGCAAGTTAACGTTTATGAGTTCTTGGACGAACTGCAGTAGTAAAAGACGACTCCCTTGATAGGTATTTTAGGTACGCACTTAGGGTAAGCTAGAGGTGGAGACGTCGATCATAGTAATGGCTGCCGGGAGGCGCCCATGGAATTATATACTCTATTGGATGATTGATCGAATCCTTGCTGGGAGACGTGGGCGTCCTTGGCCGGCTAGACCGTTGGGGAGTGGTCTTTTATCGACTTTTGTTTTTTTGCGGCTGGCCAAATGAAATACCCAGGTCTCTGTTTAACACCAATTGAGATTACATAGAGCTTTCTGGTTGTATTGACCGGCTGTTTATTTATTCCTACCAAGAAGGGATCTTGCTGTGATGAGTTAAGTAGGTTATAGGTAAGGACAGGGCCAGTCCAAACTAATCACCGCCCCCCAAGACTAGTTTAGATGGGCTGAAGCGCTGCCGAAGGTGCATATGAAGTATGCAGCTCAAAAGTGTAAAGCTGTAAAAGGGTCAGGCAGGGAAGAAAAGAAAGATTGGCCTGAATAGGAGCGTGGCGTTAGATTACATACCTTGTATGTACATAACGTAGGTAGCTAGATGGATAAAGTACCTACCTACCCTACCTATTATGTACTTCATACACTTCTCAAGTCCTCCTCGGTAGTGGTTTTACTGGAATACTGCCTGGATCAAGTCTGAGAACACCGATACTACTTCAATATCTTCTTGCACATATCGTGGCTTCTTTATGCTCTGGCCTACTAGTTTGGGTACGGCGAGCCGTACTGCACGTTGAAGAATCTATACGATAGAACCTTGGGTTTGGTCTACGAAGGTCGGTGGCTTGCCAGATCTGGGGGGAGGTATTGGGCAGTAGGAACACCAGCACGTGGGCCAAAAGAGTAATACGTCTACTTGGGAATATAGCGAGGGCGGAGTGTGGGACGAATGCATACGCAAAATGTCAGTGCCGAAATTTCTAGGATTTCAACTAGGATATCTCGATACAAAAAGACGTGGACCCCTTAGGAGATAAATCAAGTCTCACTCAACGCACACTAACCCTGGGGGGCAAGAAAGAAGACAGAACTGTGGTTGGGGCAATCTATAAGAATAAGAAAGACATGCAAAGCAAAATTTGTACAGTGTCTCTTAAAAGCAGACTTCTAACGTGTCCCTTTGCCGGGCTACATGATACGAATGTAAGATGTCAACTTGTCAAGTTCAAGGGGGAACACGGCTAGGCCGTGCGTATAAGTCGTAAGTCGCAAGTCGCAAGTAGCGAAAGAGGCCAGAACCCTGTTCGATTTCAACTTTTTAGCACCCGTCATCCGCCCCCCCTCCCCCCTACGAGCTTCCGTGCACCCAAGATCCCGGGATGCTCTTGAAATGCCTGGGCCATCATTGCTACCTATATTACGATTCATTTATTGATTCTCTATTAAAAGCACATCCCGCCGCATACCCTTTATTCTGTAGCAACGACAGCACCGCAATATAGAGACGCATACTTAGTAGTAGGTAAATCTGTCCAACTCTTCTGCATTTAAATGCTCCAGGTATGTATGTCTATACACACAGCTAAGTGTTTCCATTGAATGCAGAAGGATCTAATCTTGATTTATTATTTATTATTTATTATTTTGTTCCATCCCTGTACCTTCTTAACTTAGTAAATAGGAAGAAGAATTTAAGCTTACGGGAAATGTAGCTGAACCATAAGAAGACCTGAAAATGCTCAGCTCCCCAGTTTGACCGGTGATGAGATTATGGGATGGAATTGGGGTTCTGATGACCGGCAGGGGGTGGTAGCCCGTCCGCAATCCCTGTCTATGCTTGTGTTTGGTTGCATTCGACAAGGACTCTGATCGCTCGGCGTGTGCCCGCGATTGGGTCCCATCAAGATGCGTGGGTAGCGGAGTGGGTTAGTTCGCGTGCATTCCTTTATTCGCTCCGGCATGGCCAAGCGTTTGATCAAGGCTCTGGGATCTTGCCATTCAGGGCTATCCCCCTTGCGGGACCAGACTAAGGTAAGAGCTTGGAAGAAATAGGAAAGGGGGAGCATTGTCGGGATTTATGAATATTATCTGCTTATCATTACTTACATCGTAAAAAGGGTCTTGTTACATTAGATGGTACATAGAATGTTTCCAGCTCTTAATAACTAGATCTTACTAGATGCAGGAACTTCCCCCGTTCCCTTTGATGCATACCTTAGGTAAGGTGCCATACCGTTCTTTGCCCATCCAGCTCCCGTACAACACCTCTCAGCTTGGAGTTGACTTATTTCCCTGGCATGTTGGAAAAGATAGCGGTTTTCAACGTTGGTACCTTGATTCCTTCAGCTCTTTGGTATTAGTCAGTTTCGAGGTTAGGTACGCACAGACAAGAAAAAAAGAGTTTTGAGTCCACAGCCGCTTGGGACTTAGAATGCCACCTACGTAGTAGCATCAGGTACGGGTATGGGAGGTAGATAAGAAACAAGATAAACAAGATACATCAAATTGTGGCGGCGAACCGTGATCTGCCCTGGCCCCTTAGGTACCTAACCTACATAGTGGTTGGGTTGGCCGACCCAGTAAATTCGGTGCAAGTTTATCCTGGGGACTTGCGCGCTACGTTCAATGGCCTTTTTGAGGATCGTCGGGTATTAAAGGGGTAAACCCCCTAACACCGAAGCGTCAATCATGAACACTAAATAACGGTAAAGTTAGGTATGAGGTACCTAACCTTACTCGCATTGAGGTCGTATTGTAAAATACGGAAGTGGAATCAAGACTACCTACCTATCCATGGATGTCGTGTAGAATCTACTTGGCTCTTCCCCAGTATCGATCGGACGGCTGCAAGTCTACCTGGCAATGCAGATGCTCCGCTGGCGTCACTGCAGACTGCTGCGTGGTATCAGAATGGTGTCAATGCAAGCCACCACTTCTTTTCTAGATGCTCCCGTGAAATTGCGGGACGTGTATATATGGCATGGATTATTCCTGATCTATGGTAGGATTGGCTTGCTGGAAGAGCCTCATCCGCAACACATAGACGATGATGTTTGTTCATGACCTAAAAACAAAACGGCCACTAACCGTCAGAACTCATAAAACCAAGGGGCCAAATAAAATAATAAATAGCATTCATATCCTGAACAGATCTATCGACTCTGCGAGCTATCAATTGATCACCCTCGGGGGATATCCCCCGGGTTCGATCATTTTGTCCCCAATAAATGCTTTGCGTATGCCGTCTCTACAGGGGCATTCCCTGGACCTTAGCAGGCTAGGTTGCACCCCGTTGTTGGAGTTTAGTTGCTGTACCGTGTGCAATATCAAACTCGGCCTATTTACCTTAGGTTAGGTTAGGTACCTACACATACAGCGTTATACATACAAAATTTACATATCCATCTACGTACATATAGACATACATACAGAAGGACATGCAAGGCATTGGAGCACGGGAACCAGCACCGCCAGCGATGTTGCTGGTTTCCTTCGGTTGAGTTAAAACCCCGCAATGCTTGGATTCAAAGTCCAACTCCCAAGAGCTAAAGGATGTATGTAGGTATGTATGTATCTTCCCTATATTGCCTACTTCGGAAACCCGTTGTACCGCAATTAAGGCAAAGGCATACACGGGCTTCATCGGTTACATCAAGGGAAGGTTGCTCTTTGGATGACTTGCGAATTTTTGCTTTTTTTTTTTTCTCTCCCCTTGTCTCGAGGGGTAAAGTAAACCACCGACCCTGCGTTCTAAGCTAGGATTTTGCCCCCCCTCTCCTCAACACGGCACAGAAGAGTAGACAGGATGATGCGATGGAAGAGATTAAACCGAGTCTTGTCTGATTATGGGAATTTTAAACGAGCACCAGATACGTATTCCTATTTTTTTTTCTCCCTTAAGAGTTCGCCTTTACAAGCTGATGAAGCTGGCAAGGCTTAATCACCCTATGCGCTCATCTTTTTATCGTTCAAGACATAGAATCGGAGGTTCATGTGTGCATGATCTGGATGGCACGGCCAATACTCGTTATGTATTATGGAGTTGTAATGAACGACTTTTTCTTGTGTTACTACTTAAGGAGGCAAGGCACCTTACTATTGCAGAAAGAATTGCACTGCTTTTTTTAATATTTTCTTTTTCTTTTCTTTTCTTTTTCTTGCCTCAACTTCCGCTGAAGGGGGGGGGGGGGGGGGGGGTGCTTGTAAGTGAAAAGGGTAAAAGCTGAAATGGCATATATGATCTATTATTGGCTAAGACTCCCCGGGATTGCGACCCTGTCTTCCAGGTACTGACCAAAATATGCCAATA